CAGCAGGCCATAATCCACAAACCACTTCCAGTAAGACACTCAATGTTATGTCTTTGTTTTATGGCAGGTCACACATCAGAGCAACTCTGTCCTCTAAGTCCTTCATTAATTCAATCGTAAACACATCAATGAGTTTGTAACATTGGCAGAGAATATGGCAGGTACTAAGTTGGACGGCTGCTAAGTGATGAATGGTATTACACACTTGGCCTTCCACTCGCCATTACCACACAAGCCACATTAAACAGCATTGATTAAGTAGTAAAAAGTTTTGTGGATCAATGCTTGTGTCAGGTGGTCACCAGTAACTTACCCCACTGCTGCAAAATGGTCCACTTTACACCACCATCTCACAACTCAGGAACTTACAGTCCATCCAGGAGTATACGCTCTTCACAGGAGGGCAGAGGTGCCAGGCAAATAACGACCTCAGCAGCCGTAATGGAGCAATTTTAACCAGTACAGCCTTCATTTACTATTCATAAGTTCAACATGGACATGTTGTTAAAATGGTAGATCATCATGCATTCCACACAACATAATCCACCACACCGCCCATAGTGTAGTGGGTCATTCACTGTATCCAGTTACAACATGGTCAATGTTACTGCCAAATGTACCCTGTACAGGACCGTAACTCCTACCAATAGCATGGGGTCATAACGTTTTACCTCCAACAATAAATTTAAAAGGCATTAAAAGTTGGAGTATGCAGGCCACAAGGCACATTAAGTCTACACTTTGCCTCCACATTTCAACATGCAAGAAAGTTGGCACAGAACTCTACAAGCTTTTGTGTCTCCATACTAATTTGTAGACAATTTGCTTGCATTAAACTTAATCCCTTTCTAGCAATGATGATTCCATCAATGACATGTACAAAATTAACTTCAAAGAATAGAAAATGCCAAACTGTCACTAACACAACACTGACAAGAAATAAGGCCCCCTTACAGCAGTAAGGTTGGACTCAATACTCCCAAACCAGATCTGAACCTGTAGTCAACAGAACTACTACATATGTGGCTATTGTCATGGTCTATGCCAATATATGCTGAATGGTAACACTTCCAAGGCTTTTTCATGATTTGAATTACACCTTGTTTTGTGCCAAAACATAATATCCCATCCTATTTCGAGAGACAGATAGCTGGAGTTCCAAAGGTCCTTCCTGTCGTGTAACCCAGATGGATATGAAAGATTGCTATAATGCAGTGAAGTGAACATTTTCCAGCCCCCATTGTAAAACGCATATTGGCACACGCACAGCAAGGTTCACTGCCACTTGGACAGGCCAATGTATAAACCATTCAAGTCATAAAGTGTGAAGGATGACACAATTACTGCCATTTTCTGCAGCTGTTCACCGGAAATGGTCCAGAAGCTGGGGAATTAGTAAGTCCCTGGGTTAGTAATCATCCTGACATCTCAGGTTGTGGCAAACCACATGTACATACCCTGTATGTGGCTTCATATTACAGACATCAGATTCAGTTTTTGTATCTACACGTACGGGGACAGCAACAGTGTTCCTACAATGTTTATTCCCATTCATCTATTCATTACTTTGTGTTTTATTTAGCCAGGGTGGCCCATTTCAAAGCAAACAATTGGGCTCTGGATATAGATACATGTATTTGGGAGTAGGAATTTCAAAGTAGATATAGGGGTGAGTACATGAACATGAATATGGTACAGCACAATCTAGGATTTAGCAGCTGCTTTTGTCAGCAGGACATACATGGAGTCAAATGAACCTTCAGGGCAAAATTCCCCATTAATTTCTAGTTAAATTCAACACCTGTTACAAAGCAATAACAAACATCCCACATTACATTTGATTATTATCCTAATTGTTTCCTCCTTTCAGTTTAAACCAGGCATTTCAAAATTGCTCTTCTTTAATACAGGAGAAATCAAGACAGCTTTCTTGTTAGATGGGAAGACTATTACCTCTAATCTCCATGATGGTAGACTGTCCATTCAGGTAAATAACCATTATCGTCTCCTGGCCATACATGTATATAGGATATGGTTTTGGACATTATGACAAATGACCTCACTGTCAGTGATATATATTAAGACCAGTCACATTGCCAAACTCCACAGAAGCAGTGATAAACCTGAATAAAAGGCCAAACTATGATCATGTCTCTCCTTGATTGAAGACATCGATGACATCCTCTTTCAGTCTGCCTGATCCCTGCCCTCCATTACTGATGATGACCATAACCTGCCTCTTTCCATCCACCCTGGCCTGCTGAATGTTATCGTTTGTCGCAGAGTCATGCCCTCCAACCATGGAGCACAATTTCCCAGTTGATTGACAGGACCAGTGGACATTAAAGTCAATGCATCATAATCTTCTATATCACCAATCTCCTTTTACTTGCTGACTTCTGCAATTCTGGATGATCTCTTGAAGGATAACACTGGGGTATTTTTCATTTTCTCCCTTCCAATAAACAGGGATGATTGAGAAAAGGGTTGCAGGTTCAAGGATCAGTCACAACAAGTGGTCAAGCAAAGCTGACCCCTGATTTACCCTGCCTCTCTCACATCATTAGTCATTCTTATGGACTGATCAAAAGATGGAACAGAGCTTTACTTATGCTTGCACAAGGTTACACAATGTTGGGAATGCTACAGGATTTTTTAAATAGGAATTTGAACATGTCTAAACAACCTATCAGTCAAGTTTGCTTGAAACACAAAGGGACTTTGTTTATTCAAAATGTTTTCCATGCTACATAGAAGAAGGATCTTGAAGACCTAACATTGGTAGCACATACCATTTCAGTAGATCATGCATGTACTAAGAGGGCTGAACGCTGTCCTCAACAAATCCTGTCCATTTGAAAGTTTCTTCACCCAGATACTTTTGATGGCTCCCAGGTTTGTATAGTTGTTGTTTTACTCAGTCCAAGATTTATTTCTCTATTGCCAGTATCAATGGATTCCCTGCAACTTGTAACTACAACCTGTGAAAATATCCCACTCTGTAACTACCCAATGTCATAGTCCTGTTGGAGAGAGAGCAGAACATTCACTGTAACCAGTTACAACATATACATCCAAATTACACACTGACAGAAATAGGCATGTTGAGCATTTTCTTGACATCAATTCAAATACACTGTACTGCATAAGCAACATCTGCTAATCCCTTTAGGATTGCCAATGACATGAGCACTGAGAAGTAGTGGACAGTTGTACCAGGGTAATACTTAGTAGTTACCATACCTTCTTCTGTCTGCTAACCTTGCACAATAAATGGTGGTAAAGGTCACAGGAAAATGTGCCTGTCCATTGTATAAACTTATAAGGTCTGAGTATCTTATTGCAAGACTTAACAATATGTGTGGGCCCTATCAAAAGGAAAGCTATCTCAATTTGCGGGAAGTATGGCCTCCATCAGGTGATGGCAAAACAGCAGGAAACCATGACTTAGTCTGACCTTTCCCCTCAGGAGCTGGTGTAGTTGATGTGCTCAATAAAGGCCCAGTCATTCACGAGAGCTGATATTTCCACACAGGCCAAAGGCCACAGGAGTTATGACAGTGATCACAGATACTTACTCCACGTGGCGCCATAATAAATTTCCTCATTCTGCATGACGATGAAAACATGGCAGACCTTATTAGTTGTGCCTCAGGGATCTTAATTTGCAACCACGTAACAAATTTCATGATGGTAAATTCTCCACAGAAAACATATCTGGCTTCACAACTTTTTGGAAGAGTTGAAGCTGACAGCAACTTTATAATGTTTCAGAGAGGCACTCAATCTTCATAAAAGGAGAGTCAAAAGACTGCCAGAGATTGTTGCTGATACTATCGCCATATGTATAACTTATTCCTAGCCATGAAAACCCCATAGCATCAATGTATATCAACCCCGAATATTGCAGAAAACTACTTTCCATTTTATGAGGTAATGCCTGTGGAGCACAATTTATCGGAACGTCGCAAATCATAGAGATTTTACTAGCACAGGATGCAGGGGGTGCAAATAAAAAGTTGAAGGTGTATTTTTGCAGCATTAACTGCCTCCTGGTTTCCAAGATAGGTGATAAAAGTGGCACTCAGTCGGATAGGTCAGGATAAATGGGGGACAATTTATTCAGGAGACCATGGTTAATGCCACAGCGACAGATGATGGGTAGGACACAACAAAATGTGATAATGGTAAGAAAATACCTCAGTCTTAATTTGTACACCAGGAGGCCTTGCCAACACAAGCTCCTCTTGATTCGTACTGTGAATCAAGTTAAAACCGGTGTTGCAGAATACTACTACTAGTAATCTAAAAAAACTTCCTCCAATTTGAGGTTTGGAAAATCCACAAAAAGTCCTCCTGGTTCTGGTACACAGTATTAAATTAAAAAATATCTGACATTCCATATATTGTAGAGTATGATCCTAAAACTACTTCTACAGATTACAAAATAGGGACAGACTTTACTTAATAAATGTTGTCAAGCTTATACTATAATCCAACTGTTATAATTATGCTGCTGTTTTTATTCTATTTATATATCTATCTTTCTATTTTTGTTTTCTTTACCCATTGTGGTAACCCAGTGACTTAGCACTCCTTTTACATATAATATCTGTGTCCATAATATCACCAGGGTCCATAATATCGCCACCTTCAGAAACAGTGTGCTTAAAGATATTTTTACTGCAACATACTTTTGGTATGCACTCCTTCACACATCAAATGTACATACCTAGGGTATGTTGCAGTAAAAATATGTTTAAGCACACTATTTCTCAAGGTGGCAATATTATGGACCCTGGTGATATTATGGACACAGATGTTACAATCAGTCATTGAAACCAAATCATTATCAATAGTTATCATGTTTTTTTTCACAGATAAGCATGTAGAGAGAGTTTTGCGGAACTTAGACCTGCTATCTGCTAATGACAGACTTTAAAACTCCCACCAATAACTACAGTTAGGACTACAGCAGACAGGCATAACCCTGACCTTACCTTGTTTTCCAGGCTACGAATCTTCTCATTCTGCTCGGAAACGATGTCTCTCAACTGAAAAACAATCCATACGGTAGCCACTCTTCAAAACTTTTGTAGTGAGAAAATGATATGCAGCAATCACACCAATGGAATTTGCAATGAGATATAGGCTTTCATAACAGTCAAATCAAACAAAGAGTTACAAATGGTGGCAATAATGTTGAAAGCCATTGTTCCATTACTTGGCAAAGTACAACAGTCTACACATCATGAACTGATATCCTCAACCTTCCGCTTTGATTCTGAGAAGACATTGTTCCAGGTGAACTGGTGACATTTAGAAAATCTGGCTATCACAGATGCCTTACCAAAACCATGTGGCTGACATTTGGACTTCCACTGCAAAAAGTGATGTGTGACTCCATGATGTAATCCACCATCACATTTCACTTTGTGTTGAAATCAATTTGGTCTTATGACTTACATGTAACATTGGGTTTTAAAAGAAATAGGTAGTACTACTACATTATTGATGTGGAAATAGTTCTACATGAAGGAAATGGATGTCTCCTCATTTGGACTTCAAATGTTTAATTTAAAGTTGAATACAGGTAGCAACTGTAATAATGACAGGGTATGTTATTAGAATGGCTATGTAAGTTACATTATAGTCTACACATGCTGGAGAATTACTGTATAATTTGTATTGCTTATGATAAATCCAACCCATCACAGCAGACATTTCATGCACCTCACAACAGTAAAAGTAATTTTACACCCATTCTGACCCATCACTGCCACATTGTAGGAGTTGTTCTGCCATGTATTGCCTGATGGGATCAGTCTAAATGGCCACATTAACCAGTGAAGTAGTGCTGGTGTTTCAACATGGTCTTTCACCAGTCTGCCAGGACCACTTACTGATATATTTCTTAGCCCAATGTGACCATGGAGGCTGTTTGTTCTGCTTCATTATCCACAAATAGTACAAGGTGTCCTTGACAGATTTCTGGAGCACGTCTCAGTGCCAAGATTCCACCACTGTGCATATGTTAACCCTAGCAAGGGTCCAAAGGCCACAATTTTCCAACTACCATGTTAGAAAACTTCAGGGATCTTTGTTTCCGGCTGAAACCTTTTACCCTTTTCCATTACTTGTTATCACCATAACAGAAAATAGAATGCAGACATATCACTTACTGTGGTATCTGCTATGTTTACCCAACATAAATTATCAATTATCCATTTGATAATACATGTATTTCAAGATTGAAAGGAAGACAACAGTTCCAGTCTTCCTGCCCAGCCCCTCTGCGGCACATACCTGCTGGTTGTCTGCCTGCAGCTGCTGCAGTTGTTCCTGCAGGGCTGCGATGGTTTCCCTCAGCTGGGCCTCCACACTCATGTTCAGGGAGGGGTGGTGTCCCTGTGACGTGTCCTCATCACCATCAGGGGGAACTCTCTGGGCAACTTCTGTGACTTCTCCATCCTACAGACACACAAACCGGCTTGTCACAAAGAACAGAATTTTCTGTACAGTTGCACAAAGACATTTTTCATGACAACATGTTTTTTCCACTGCAAATACAAATAAACTATATTTTCCACCCATGGCTTTTCACATGCAATCACCATATTGAAGCTTTGAAACCCAATGATTGACAAGGACACTAATACAGTCTGTCTGCAATTCTATCAGAAGAATGTACTTTGCACAATTTACCAACATGAAATTTACAGCAAAGCAGCATCACTCAGATGCTTTTAGCAGTTTATCTGAGGGAATAATGTAGTACACATGACAGCTATCTGTCCGCTTTGGCATTACTTCGTGAATTCTAGAAAAGGTAAAACATAAAATTAAACATAACGGCTATTTTGTGCTTACCACAGCAAAGGCTTCAACATCATTCTCTTCTTCTCTTACTGGTACTGTGTCAGCATCATTTGTAGTTGCCATGGGAATGTAGTTCTCATCTTCCAACTCCTTTAATACCATGAAAGTGACACTGTCATCAAAAGACCATTGCCTGCAACATTTCTACACAATATAGTTTTGACACCTTGAATCACCAAGGTAACAGAGCCTGCATCTTGATTGTCAATCAGCATCAACATGATCGTCCTGCCATGCCATGATTACAGTTAAGTGACATGCACACCATGTTGTTATCAAGTGGGGCATGCAGAGGCACTGTGCACAGGACACACCTACTTGATTGTGAAGAATTCAACTGGAGGGGATTAACCAAATACAAGTTGACTTTCCTGCAAGAAAGGGGGTTGGGCCTAAATTTAAGGATAAGCTCTCATTCAGTTAGGGTCAAAATGATGCTACAGATTGTGGTTGAATAAATGTTGTTGAAGATGTCTCCTGAATTCCCACAATCAGGCAGGTGCATGTAGGTTTACAGGTGTGACCACTACACTACCTTCACCACTACACTACCTTCTTTAACCACTCAGGTACACAGTCTGCGAAGTCCACACCACTGTCATCTGGAGGCCTGACACTGTCATCAGGGCAGGCAGCAGACGTGCCGGCCATCGGTATAATGTCTGAGTCAGCTAACTCCTACCGTTGTTAGTTTAGCACACAGAAGAGAAGGCACACGTCAAACACGGCAAACTTCACTACAGGGTCAGAAAATCAGTTGAAAGACACAGCACTAAAACATTTTACAAAAGTATCCGAGCACAGCAACTTCAACTACAGTTCTTAGGGCACATGGCTTTATTGATATTTATCTTTTCTGCTGTAAAGATAAATCTGACTTGTCTGGATTGTATCAACCTACAGTCTAACACACAAACCACTGGCTCTTTGGATGTTAGCTTTCCAATAGGTTCAAGGCTAACACAAACTAGGGAGGATTACCATGTAATGCACTCCTTAGTTTGGAATGTAAAACCAAAACTAGAACTCCAAACAAGAAAAACAAATATCATCCAAGAACTGACTTGAAGTTGAAGCTCAGGATTTTCTTCTAAGCCTGTAGAAACAAGAATGACTGTACATTATAATGCTGAGCATGAACTAATGACACACCAATCAATGTAAATACCAAGGGTATAGTTATGCACACTTTTCTGTGACATTTCTCCCAATTAACGATGAATAAAGTTGGCTGTGGAAACAATCTAACTGTTCCAAATGTAGAATTTAAATCTAGGATCAACATCCTCTCCCTTGGCATTACACTGACAGATGCATTGGCATTTCTCAAGTTGTAGTAGGACATTACCCGCTGAAGCCATGGGGGTGGGACAGAATCCCCTACAGTGTTGACTTCTCTGTTGGAGGAGACAGGAGCTACGAATGACTCAGGGACTCCGGAATCCCTGTCTGACATGGCACCATCCTCACTGGTACAGCACACACTGCCAAACACACTGTCATCCACCTCTTCTGCTAGGAACACAGACAGCAATGTGGCTCTGCCTTCTCACACAAGCTCATATTCTATATTATTGTATTTCCCATATATAAAGCCTCTGTCAACACTTAATTACATTCTTCAGCCAATGCTTTTGGAGAGCAAGTCTGGATAATTGGCAGATATTAGCTTCTTAGAAAGTTAAAAGATTGTCAGTTTGATCATAATTAAAGCTGGTCAGTGACAGACTTCATGTATTACTTACCTTTGCCTGTACTTATTTGTGACCTGATAGTTTTCTGTTGCAAAACTTTTTCTGAAACAAAGAAAAAGACAAACATGTATGATTTATTTGGATGAATACTACCATGGACAGAAAGCCACTAAAAAGCTATATACAATGTAGCTGTAAGCAAAAGATATTGTAACAAGGAGAAGTCGTAGACATCATCCCTCCATGAAATAGCTTGTTATTTTGTAATCTATAACTGTTATAGAGTTTGCGAATATACTACTGGGGATGGTACCCAGGCTACATTTGCCTGTACATGTAGGTCAATGACCAGACAGGCAAATGACCTGCAGACCAGCCAAACATGATTTATTTTCCTGCAGACTCTAGATCTGTCTAGGGGTAAAAATAGATAGGGCTGCCTGGGTCTGACTTGCCAGCTGGAGGTATAAACAAAAACACTCTGTCCCAACTTTTGGGTCAAACAGACCATCCTATTATGAAGTAGGGGTGAAAAAGTGAAAATCCTTTTAAATTAAGCAATAAAAATATGCGACAACCTGCTAATGCACTCCAAAACACAAAGAGACTCAACAACTACCCACATACCAAAAATCATACCAAACCATCCCCCAGATTTTCCAAACATTCAACACAAAAAGTCCAACATTAAACATTTTGTAAATATCAAACGCAAACAGCTAGGGGACCCAAATTTAAACCACTAAACCATGGTAATAACAACTACATGCTACCTTAATATCGCACAAACAGTCCATAACGCGAAAACAACAGAATAAAAAAATTAAACTGCAGTACCAAGGTCAATCACCAGGGGCTCAAAGTCAACCTACACAATCTCCAAGGCCCCATCCATCAATCTGCCAAATATCGTACAGTTCCTTCTCACCGATCTTCAGATATCAGACCAAACATGAAACGGAGTAAAAACAGTACCCCCATTTTCATGGAGGGTAAATATCCTTTTGAGTGAAGGGAATGTACTACTAAGCTTAATACAGTCATATGCTTTACAAAGCTTCTGGTAGAACTATACATTTAGTCTGACTCAAGTCCAAACTTTTATTCACACAGCAAAAATTGACCAAATTACTGTTTTGCTGTTAGCCTTACCCACAACCATGATAGTGTTCCAGTGTCTACAGGATACATCTGATGCCAGATGTAAGGAGCCAAATATGGGTCTGGGTCTGGAGACGGAGGCAGGGTGGAGACCCTTGGGTCCCTTCTCTCCCCTGTCTGACGTCACACCCAGCCTGCCATCCTCACCATTCCCCCAGGAATAGATCATGTTATCTGTGGGAAGTACAAAACACATTGTATGATTACTAGGTGAAATTGCAGTGTATCTAATCTACATATTTTAAAAGGTTATCTCTTCTCTACTGTTGGGTCTGACATGTCTATGCAAGCACACAAGAAGGATAATTATTATTTAACGAATTTGATACTGGAGAAAAACAGTAAAACCTCTTTGGCTGATGAGGTAATAAAATGTCTGCATATTCTGGTAATCCATGAGGGAAGTACCAAGAACAGCTCCTGACCTGAAGTGGCAGCCACAGTGAAGCCGTCCCCACAGGCTGCCCTCAGGACCTGCCTGCCCATCAGGCTGCCACGCAGCACGTTGATGCTGCGCCGAGGTTTGAAGTCTCCCACTCCCAGCTGGCCAAACTTGTTGGACCCAAATGTGATCAGCAGACCATGTACTGAACAGGAACAAATAGCAATGTAGCAGGAATCTTCTCAATGCATTTGTTTGTAGTTTAGACAAATGACTTGCATCTTCTTTAGACATCTACCACAATAGCTGTCTCAATACTAGTACTACTGTCAGTCAGTCTCAAAGTAGTGATGATAAAAGTCAGTTCTGAGCTATCACACATGAGATTATCATATCTAACAGTTCAGATTCAGTGAAACCACAACCACAGAGATCGCATTAAGTATTCCTCACCATCTATGGCAGCAGAGTGTGTCTGTCCAGCTGAGATCTGGACAATCTGATATCTGCTCAGGGACCTCACCAGGGTGGGTTGTAGTTTACAGGGGATGTCATATGAGATCTGTGAGGAACAACATTAAGATGACTGGATGTAGTCTGGGCATATCTGCCTGGAAATATAGGTACATTTTGTACTTTTCCAATATAATTGTACTATAAGGCCACACCAATTTAATTTCTTGGTTAACGGATTTTTCTAGGAAAATAATGGAGCGGGCGGGCGAACAAAAAATAAAAATAAAAACAGGCCTAGACATCCTATTATGGCCCAAAATGGTACGATAGGAGCTATGAAGTCAACACACCAGGCAGGTTCAAAATTTAAGCAATGAATTTTGAACTTTTAATGATACCACTGCATTGAAAGATGGAATGACTGTAACAAGTAGTAAGAAAATGACTGTTTTCAACTGTTCAGGGAAAAATATGAGCATTTTGCAGTTGATTCTGAATTTTTATTTTTATTTGCAAATCAGAAAAAAATGAAGCGGCGAATCCGTTAACCAAGAAATTAAATTGGTGTGGCCTAATCTACAAAGCATAAAGAGTGTAAGCTACATTATACATAAGAAAATACAAGCCATAGAAGCGACAGCCCAAGACCTTTTTCTTCCGTTTGACCAGCCCAGAAGCACTGAGATTGAAGCCCAGCTTGTTGTGTTCATTAGTACCACATGCCAACACCCTGCCATTGGCCGTTAAGAAGAAGGTACCGTCAGGACCACAGTGGATGGTTTTGATTGTCTTGCTGCCACAGAACTCCACCTTCTGAGGGCTGGCAAAGTCATCCTCTGAACCCAGGCCAAGGCGACCTGATGTGGGATTAAGAAGATAACAAAATAAACCAATATGTAAACAAATGTATAAAGTCCCACACGAAGAACTACTTATGGACAGTAGAAAGATTAGAATAGGAAAATGATATCCATATGAAATCCATGTATATTACCTAAAGGAACAGGGCAACCTTTTTCAAATCATTCACTCATACACCATTATAAATACAAAGCATGAGATAGCCTTACACTTTGGTGGCAGTTTCTAATAAGTAATTCAGACTCATGAAATTGATACAAAAAGAACATCCCCTACCAAACTCCCCACATCCCCAGGAGTAGACTTCCTGCTCACGGGTCAGGACGACAATGTGAGCGTCTCCACAGGAAATCTGAGCCACAGGACGGCCACTGAAGAACTCCACCTCAACAGGAATCATCACCTCGTCCCCATGCTCATTCTCACCTCCCAGACAGCCCCAGTAGTCCGACCCACAGGCATACACTTTCCCTTCCTCTGAACAAAACAAAATTGAAACAAAATTACTTAAACTTGTTCATTTAATCCACAGAGTAACAAGTGTTGATTATAAACTATAAGTTTCACCAGTATGCGAGTCAGTGTCCCATTGCAGCAATACACTTTTCTCGTGATGCACTGGAAACTTCCTTATCAATAGGCTAGTGTGAAAGATTATGACTGAGAGGGAAAAAATTCATTTTCATTAGGCCATAAATGAAATTGTTCTGGTTAATACATTTTATCATGGAGTTAAAATCAAATTTTCTTTGATTTTATACAACACGAAGCATCAACATACATGTATGCTATATGTGTCTGCAATACCAATGCACACTGCCAGGCGGGGTAGCTGAGCAGTCCATGCAAACCGTTCCCTGGTGGTCTTAACAATCAACCCCATTATCATCCCAATTTTGTTGGCAAAAGTTTTGGAATGTTAAAAGAATATGACATGACTATGCTTGACCCACCTGTGAGACAGGCAGTGAACTCCTCTCCACAGCCCACCTGTGTGATGGCTGTGCCTATCAGACAGTCCACTCTCCTGGGTGCTCTGTAGGAGGCAGTGTCTCCATGGCCCAGCTGGCCCACCATGGCAACACCACCTTGGACATTCTGGAATTAAAAAGATTGCATTTATAAAAGGATTGCATTTATAAAATGATTAATGGCAAATATAAATCTGTTACCTGTCATTTATAGATTCTTACTGAAAACTTTGCAAAGGTTTCGTTCAAATCAACTTCAGTGTCAGACATTATCATCTGAACTGAATGATATTGCCCTGAAGAAAGTACAGATCTAACGTTGTGCACTACTTACAGCCCATGTGAACAGTTCCTTCTCCACAGTAACTACAGCATAGTGGGACCGACCTGCACAGACCTGCAGAAAGGTTACCACAGGTCAAAAATTGTGAAAAAAAAGTGAAAAACATGTGATTTTAGATTGTCAGAAACAATTGCAAGCAAAGAACACTCAAAACTAAATATTTTACTGCAAACTGCAGAAATTCAATGTTGAACTGCAGATACAAACTCAGGTACCAACTGAGGGCAACAATAATAGCCATTTTCAATATTCAATAGCAGGAAGGAACATGCGATCCAGATGGATACCTACCTGTAAAGCACTGCTGCCTCCATGGAAAACATCCAGCTTCTGTGGGTTCTGTTTTCCACCTCCCCAGTAATAAACCTGTGAATGATGTGTATGGTCACACCACAACAACAAAAGTATATCGTATCAGGATGTTACTCATTATGTGCCAGCCTTTTGATTTATCACTGGTGCTATTTTCACTGTTTCTCATACCGGTATGTGAAACATCAGAATGTTCCCTGTATCTCATAATTTTGACTGCATTGTAATGAACACATTTTCTTTTCATTAATCATGTTTATCACAATGGCAACTATTAGACATTCTACAACCATTATTATACAGTATCATTATATAGTGGCACATGGGAAGAGAGCTCTAAGCTGTCCAGCACTTCACACCACTCACCTCACTGGTTTTAGAGGTAACAACAGGGACTGTGTCAGTTGTGACGCTCATTCTGCAAGTCAAGTTACATGCTGTTAGTGCCAGCAAGCATGCAGCTGCTAGTGGACTAACTGGAATACAGAGTACCCTCACGATGTAAACTTTCTTGGGTCACTGATCTCATGCTGTTAACTTTGAACCCATGAACTATAAATAAATAGAGGGATTCATTTCTTCATGGTCAATACCAGAAGTCATGCATTCTTTGGAGAATTATACATGCTTGAGCTTTCAGAGGAGCAGAGCAAACACAAGTCATCAACTGAAGTTTAAACTTAAATCTGGGTACAGTTAGTTAGGATATTTGGGTTAGAGTGAGTGCTTGAAAGCAGCATGTGATGGTTACCTCTCAACTACATTGAACGAGCATTATGGGGGATTTCCCTCAGGAAAGCCATCAGGATATCCCCATTAAGAAAGCTTTTACTGTAAAGCCAGAGAACTTGAGCAACTTGTCACACAAGGTGTCACGCACTGAGTATTAGCACAGATGGTAGAAGTGAACAGTCCTCAGGATGACAGCAAGTACAGTACTTATTTGAAATGGAATGAAACACTTTCTGGCAGTTATAAAGGCTAACATCATTTTTGGCAAAGGAACATACAATACTAACTTAGTCCTTTTCAGTTAGTATATCTAATGTTACTGATGTAAATCACTGGCAGATCATACTAACCTAGTTTTCCTTGTAGTTGCATTAAGCTCCCAAACTTTTCTCTCCATGTCCCTATAGAAGATGAATACCACAATGTTTGGGACATTGATAATCAAAGTTGAAACAATCAAACACAATGGGTACTAAACATCTTTTCAGTTTCAGTTGGGGTATAAGCAATACTAGTAATATTACATAAAGTCTTACAGTCCATCTGAACAGTATCTTAAAGAGGATTTGACCAACATGAAGTCTGTATACTCACTTCCCCAGTGAGATGAAGATAGGGTACAGCAGGATGTCCTTGGCTTCTGGCCTGTTGTCTGTATCCTGAAGAAAAATGTATTCAGATCATCTGTCAAAGGTCTATATGATAAGGCCACACCAAGTAAATTTTATGGATGACGTCCTTTGGAGACCCTAAATCTAATGCAAGAGGGCGAAAAACAAACAAGAAGGGCCCTAAAAAAACAAGATGCCTAGATTAGAAATATACTAAGAGACGACAAATGTTAGGACACAAATTCAATGAGGTGACACAGTGTAACAAGCAAGAAGTCTTTTATTCATCATCAAAACAGCAATAAATCAGGTGGAACAGCAGTTGTCGTCCTGTCCTGTTTTCGCGTTACGGGTTTCACGTCAATCTGATGATTTGCGGCACTGTCGTGACTCTTTGGTCATAGTTACAGGAAGCAAAATTTCTTGTTTTTTTTCTAGGAACAGGCCAAAATCAATGCGCGCGCGGACGTCATCCATAAAATTTACTTGGTGTGGCCTAACTTGCTAATACATGTAACACATAATAACTATCAAAGCAACATTTTCTTAACTCTGTCAAGTAACATTTTACCTAAACCTCCTATAATGATGATAAGTTAACTAATGATAATTGTGAAAACTTCTCACATCAGACAGGAGTTGATGAGCCAGTGAGCGGATGGTTTCTGAGTACCTCGTGTCAATTTCTCCCATTTTGATTCCTTCAACGATGCGAGCAGCCAGTCTCAGTGGATTCTAGAACAGAAGAAGACGTAGATAATTTTAAAGGCTTATAATATGAACAGAATTCAACGGAATCCCAGGGTTTTATCATAGACAAAATAGCAAGAGCCACTTACTGATGCATCAAATGTCCTTTTGAGGGTGAACAGCTCATACAGCACACAGCCTACTGCCCAGATGTCACTCTTAAAGCTGTACCTGCAGAATTGGAGGGACAGGAAATCAGGGTGAGCTTTAAATTCTTAGGGTATGTTTCAATTGGTCGATGATATGATGAATATTACTTTTCTTGTCAAAGGATTGCAGGCGATTTTGAATCATATATATTGAAACATAAGCCTCTTCACTAATAAAAATGGGACAAGGTTACAGTACTGTACTTACCGTTCTCCTTTAATAAGTTCAGGTGACATGTAGTAGGGTGTTCCCACATACTGCATGGGAGAGAATGTACCATATGTTTTTATCATAACATTTTTAACAATCATGCTCAACATGCCATTAATATCAGTACCTCAAAAATATCAAATAACAGCAATTAAATCATTTCCAGTCAGGCATCTTAAAACCACTTTCAAAACATGACGTCTTCATTCAATCAAACGAGCCAACTATTTGGTCCAGTATTGGTCTGGCCATCCACCATCATTTGTCAATCCAACTGTATGTACCTAAAATATATAATCATTGGCCCATACTCACAGATTCTGCCATCTTGCTTGTATTTTCCAGCACTTTGGAGATCCCAAAATCTCCCAGTTTGACCAGACCAGACTTGGTCAGAAAAATATTCAATGTCTTGATGTCTCTGCAAATGAAACATCCATTGATACTAAAAATCTGTTACAAAACCTTACTTGATTAAGACAATGCACAGCTACATGTAGACATCTTGTAGCAAGTGAAAGCAGAAAGACAGATGAAAGCAGAAAAGCTCAGTCTCTATGCTGATATGAAATACATACAAGACGGAGGAAGAGCTACCAGACTGGCTACACTACAGTCCTGTCTACACTGACTCCCTACACCAGAGCAGCCTGGATAATAAAGGTTTGTGTAGTTTGTGCCTGGGTGGGGAGAAAAAAGTTGGGACAGGCCAGGAAAGGGGAGAATATAAACCCATAACTTTAGACAGTATGGAGAACTAGACTGGAAAAGAATAATGACTGTATAAATATGCACATTCTCATTTTCAATTGATTATCTATTTGTTACCAGTAAATTTGTTACTCTGTTCAACATGTAGTAAAATCACACAAATAGTATTGTATGAAAGTTTGCAGATTACACATTATGTCTAAATATCTAAAATGCTTCTTTCCCAATAATATAATTATAAAGTAATAGTTAACAGAATACCCAGTATTTCCTTCACTTTTCTACTTTAACCAACCAACGATATTACATACTAGTATAATGTTATAGTCCTGAGATGGACATTGTTTTCACTCCCCACCTGACCTACCTGTGTAAGATGCCATACTCGTGTATGTGGGCAACAGCAGACACAAGTTGGAAAAAGTACCAGATGATGAGCTGGAGGAGGGAAAATGTTTCTTCAGTAAACATCTACTTGTTGCTACAATCAATGATCCAAGACAGCACATCTAGCTTTGATACAAGGTTTCATTAAGTGGGTTAAGTATCAAGGCTATTGTGTTCATGGACAATTAAAATTTCCATGAAGTATCATTTAATCATGTACATGTACTATTGAACGACTGCTTATATTCCAAAGGAAGACATGCAAATCTTCATTACTATAGTATAGGTACCCACTAGTAACCACAGTCCACACACTCACTTCTTCTGGAAAAAGATCATCCTGGTGAACAATCTTCTCATACAGATTTCCTCCTGAAAAATGAGAAATGAATAATCTGGTTACTCCTTCAAGCTAAAAGTTACAAAATCATCAAACTAAACAAACCCCCACGGATAAAGTTTTCTTCCCAACTTTCTGACCCACCATTAGCATACTCCATCTCAATGAGAAGTGTGGACCCATCCAGGAAGTGGTTGTAGTAGGAGACAATGTTGGGATGGTCCAGCATGGACAGGATCTCGATCTCAGTCTGGGACTCTTGACGTTCCTTCTCACTCAGCCTGGTCAGGTCAACCTCCTTCCACACCAGCAATGAGTTGTCCTGGGAAGGATGAGGAGGGGAAATACTTTTTATATTCCAATATTTAGAAAGTACATTGTGTGACTAGTAACTACAATGTAGCAACATACTGTTTTGCACACAATGCTCAAAAAATGCTAGTACAAAACAAAATCTGAGCCCCACAACTACTAACATCCCTGGTACTAATTATTGCCATATCTACAATGTTGCAGATTATGCAGGAGAATTGAACCATCCTTTGTTCATCTATAGTGCAGTCTGTAATGTGGTTTTGCAGGTACATGTAATTACTATCAGCTCTAATTCTGCATTCATTCAACTCTGTCATTTGTGAGATAAAACTTCAGTCAGTGACCTTGACTAGTCATGCAAGATGGCTACTGGCGAAGCCCGTATCCTCTGACAAAACCAGAAAAATACAGAAACTAATTGCACACTTGCCACTTTTTATCCATATATATCTATACCAACTATCAATGTCCTGTTTGCAATGTGTAGTATATGGGCTTTTATTTTATTTTATAGGAAAGGCTACCATTTGAGAATTTTTAGGGCACCTGAATTCGGCAAATACACCTGGGCACAAGATCAATGTTCAATGTCATGCCTTACCTCCAAGTACAGCGATCATCAACAAAGAAAAGATATATTGCACATAATAGTAGAGGTATATAGTGCAACGATGCATGCTACAATCATATTGTGAACTTGTGGTTTTTTATAATCTGTTGCCACGACAAGTCAAAATTTGGAAAATATAGGAGGGTCTGCATGGGGGGTCCTGATTACGCTTTACGCTAAATTTATGAAGGCTCGCAACGCCTGTACGCTAAATTCCAAAAGGCCGGCAACGGTTTACGCTAAATTCTAGCGGCCGGTCTTGCTGACTGCCTCCTTCAATACCCCGAGTTGTTCGTCTATTTTGTTTATCAACTAACTCACATTAGTCACTTCGATGTCTTGAAACACTGACGACTCCACATTGCAACGATACTGGGTCAGAATCGACCCCGTATGCAATAAAATGCGCACAATCAGGGGCGTCGCGTGAGCCATGGTGGGATTGTACCGCACACATGGACCCGGACATGCCAGATGGGACGGGCAAGAAAGGGACAGACAACATGTCATTCGCTGGTTGCTAGTTCGTCCGCTACGGCTTACGAAAAATGGGAGTCCAGACTACGATTTACGGGGAATTTTTAGGCTCGATTACGCTTTACGTGAAATACGCTGGCTACGCTTTACGGGAAATTTTTGCCTCCTCACTACGAATTACGGTAAATAAAGTAACTTCCCTACAAATTACGGGAAATTAAAGAGGCCCGCCTACGCCTTACGGAAAAGAGCATGCAGACCCTCATATAGGGATAATTAGGAGCAGAGATGTTAACTGTCTGAGGTAGGGGGTATGGGGAAGAGTTGAGGTAGGGGGAGAGTGGGGGAGGGGGAACTGGACTTCAGCACATGATTAATTTTGTTTGATATCCCCATGGAGGTTTCTCTTTTACCTCCATGATATCCCCTTCAATAACACATTGATTGACCTTTAAGCCCTTAGATTGGACTTGTTTTCACAGGGGCACTTTAATTAAAAAAGAGTGAATGTTACTTGACTATCTGGCTGGAGTACCAGAAAACGTATCACTATGGTGATGTTCAGTTGTACTTGTTACACATTTTGGGTTATTAGCAACAATAACCTGATTTGGCACGCCCTGCTAACTAAAACAATGTTCAATCCATTCATTTCCTGTAATTAACTCAACTACTAAGTACCTAATACCAGCCCAGAAGAGAACAAGAAATAGCCATGCCTTTAAGTACCAGAGTTATCAACCAAGGATTGAGGTGTTCAAGAATTCATTCTTTCCTAGAACTATCGCAGAGTGGAACTCACTGTCACCAAGTACAGTAGGGGCACTGTCAATAGATAGCTTTAAACAATGTCTAGAGCTAGAAGTTCAAGGGTTAGGTGTAACAAGTCGATCGGTGTAATATAGCCAGCTGCCGCCGCGCCGCGTGCCTGCGAAGCTGGTGTGTTACGCCGAAAGGCGGTTATACCGGCTATACAGATACAGATACAGAATTACACAGGTAATTTAAGGGAGCATTTGGATCAAAGTGTAAAACTAAAAGACTTGGTCAAATTGGTGGATATCATGTAGCCTGACTAGTCTAGAGTAGATTCTATGGTCCAGTTTCCATGCATGACTGCACGGCTGACAGCTACAGTTACCGGCAGTACGTTCCAGGTGAACCGTAACAGTCACACCAACACCCGTCATCAGAGTCTGCACACCGATGTAAACAACAACGTCCCATAATCATCTTGTTCATTCAAAATCACACACTCCTCAACATGTCCAACGGTTTATCGTTTGAAGCATGCAATTATACTCATCAAATAGCGACGACCCGAAACACCAGGATGATTCTAACATAATTTTGTTCTACTTTACATGTGAGCTACAAGGCGTCAGTAGTCACTTTGTGGTATCCGGTTGCTGAGATACAGTCGCGCCCACCCATGTAGATTTGCGACAACACACCTCAGTTTTCCTGTATAAAATAGGCTTCTCCGAACGCCCCGCGGCCAAGAACCTTGACGGGGATATACATCTCCTCCTGTCCGCCATCTAACCCCCCACGTTTCTGCAAGCTGCCCTCCCAGATCGCCCTCGGGCGACAGAAAACCGGAGTCAACCTCGAAGGCAACTCCGTCAGGCCTGCTCATCGCCATTTTCGCTCGACTGGACCGGTATCTTTTAAGTTGTCTGCTATTGCAAATTTAAGTGCCTGAAAAGCATCACACACGTGACTTCGTACGAGAACACTAAATATTTACTATAAAATTAAATAGAGCTCAGTAAATTAGTTTTCTTCGATAAAGTTGGTGAAAATAGGATCTCTTTGCGTATATTATGTTATAATAATGGGAGAAACAAAGGCACAATAGTAATCTAATATCTGGCAGCCATTTCTTATTTTGCGGGAAGTTCGCACGCGAGTGGGAAGGTGCCCCAGAAGAAGCTCAGGGAGCTCCAGGGAGGGATGGCTTGCCATAGTCGAGTATGGGCCCAATTTTATTCTCTTCAGCCGATCCTTTAGATTGCATTGTGCTGATGACACTGACTGCTTATATTCTGTGATCTACTTAACTCATGTGTGTGGTTAAATTCAGTGATTTGGGTTCAATCTAAATCATATCCTCTTGGGACATAACGTTACCAGATGTTTCTGGAGTCTCAGGCCTTACGCTAAACAGATGTTCTTAATTTGTGTTGTTTGCTCCAACCCCTGTACAGGATATCCAGTCTTGGTCAGACTTTACTGCAGTATTGGATGCAGATGTGATTTCTTTACTTGGACTAGATGACAGTCAACAAAAAGGAAGTGGTAAATAATTACTAACAATATTGGGCCATTCCTAAATAGCTGTCTGTCTATGATATGATTGTGTACACTTCAAAAATTGCTGTCAAATACACATTGATGAAACGTGCAATGAAAAATAGGCAATGGGTTTGCTGTTACAGAGTATTTGTTGTTACAGATTCAACAGAACAACTACAAAGCAAGAACGACTTTTGCGACAACCTCAGAGTTGACAACATAGCAGACCAACCTCTTCAC